AGGCTTTGCCTTGGGTCTTACATAATAATCTAATCCTGGATTATTTCAAAAGAAATGATTACATATAACTTAACTTAAATTACAGAACATATCAGTAAGAAATACATACTTACATTATCACTATCAAGAATTATAGTTTTTCCAGTCGAGGTTGTACTACTTCTGGAAATATTTGAAGAATATGTGACGAATTCGAAGATGGAGTACACTTCTGAATATTTTTGGACTGTCACCAGATGAAGGAAATTCTGACGTTGTTGTTGCCTGAAAAGGAATGAATAAACAGCACATTTTCAAAAATAAACATCTAAAATTAACAGAAAAATAGCTCTGAGAAAGAAAAAGAGTGATTAAAAGATATATTCGTAAGTAAATTCCCGTTTAAACTCTATAAACTTTTACCACAGTAAGCCAAAATCACCAACGGTTTCATCTCTGGCGCCTAAACGTATGCGCATGCGTATGCGTAATGGCAGCAACCGCTGAATAACTGTGTGAAGGCTCAATCTCGAATTACATGGAATGCACTCACCGATGTTTCTCCCAAAATAGCTGTTTGAAACAGCCTCCTAAAACGAATTCTTTCCTTAAAAATGGGGGGGAAAAAATAATTATTGTCTTTCAATTATCTTCGTATAAAGATACAAGATCTTGGCCACTATAAAAAAAGACAAGCATTCAGAGGATGCTGACTGATCTTAGGACGTCTACTGACACTATCTATGTATATAAAATTTTTTAATGCTTACCTAAAATTCTTTTTTATTGCATCAGCGTGAAATTCAAGCTTTTCAAGCCAAGATTTAGAGAGATGGAACTCCTTGATCGTCAGTGCGAGAAGGTCGTAAAGACTTAAATTTGTGTAACGTTGCCTTCACTCGAAACGCTTTATTTATTCTCAATTCAATATACATTTATATACGATGTACTTTATCATTTACTGTACCTTTTCTACCTATCTACGATACCTATCCATATTATACTCATATGAGTGTCGTACGCTCAAATTTTAATCGCCCACTGCCTTGATGTTTGTTTGGTTTTTTTTTATTTATCTAGGATCCTGCTCATTACTTTATTAGGATCTTGTTCAAGATCCTACCCAGGATCCCACTCAGGATCTTAATTCCTATCCAGGATCCTACTTAGGA